TCATGATCGGGTCCTTCGCCACGGGGGCCGCCGGGGACACCTACCGCAAGCGCGCCCGCAAAGTCGACTTCCCCGAGGAGGCGGTGGAGGTGCGGCAGCGAATGGCCCATGGCAGCGTCCCAGGGGTTTCGGAGCTGCGCTGGGTCTGCGGGATTCTACTTCAGTTCCTTTTCACGAATTATTGGTCGGCGCAGGAGCGGCACATTCAGCAGATGGAGGCGTCTGCGGCCGCGGCCTCAAGCGAGGACGAGGCGGAGGAGGAGCCCAGGGCGCCTGCCAGCGTTGAGGATATGAGGGCGCTGCTGGATATGCTTAGCGCGAGCAGCGACGAGGACGCGGACGTGGACGTGCCCAGGCAGCCTACCGCGGTGTGTACGACGCCCACTCCTTCTAAGCTGCAAGGACCGCGTACGGACGTTGAGGGGTTCACCAAGATCGGCCACTGGATCATCTCTTAAAGTCGTTGGGTGTATTGGTCGCGTATGGCGCGATTTCAAACGACTCGTCGATGTGATGTTGGGTATATTCTTCATATGGGACACCGTTTTTTTTTGCCAATCCCATGGAGGTGCATACCTTAATAGCGATGGGAATCCTCATTCTTTTGTCCTTCGATACGATTATCAAACTTGTTAAGTATAAATAGTGTAATCAAAAAAAAAAACTTTACTTCATGATAGCAACAAAGCGCCTGACGAGGAGACTAATCACACGATTAACGTTATCCTGCACGGTGCAATGCGAGTTGCCTCCTTGACACTTTTGTTGATCTTGCCATTCCCATTCCTTTCTGCCTTAGGTGTATCCCCCTGAAAGTTCTAACGGAACGTTTGACGGGACAGTCAATCGAGCACGCCGTTCTATTTATTATTATTTGTAGTCGTCGTAGTCGTATTGTTATTGGTATTCCCATTATTCCCCTTTGCGCCACCCGATGGAGCTCTTTCTCGAGACCCGGGAGCATATCCTCACGAGCATGGCCCTTGACGGCCCCCGAGGGCGGCTGGTCCTGACGAGCGCCTCGAACGGCGATGTTCTTCAGTGCGATGCGGCGGGCCCCGGGGGCGGGCTGAAGGTCCTCCTGCGCACCGAAGACGCCCTCGGGGGGGTCGCGGTGGACCCCCCGAGCGGGGATCTCTTCCTCAGC